AACAAATTGCATCAAGATAAAATGAATTTATTGCAAAGTTCAACTTCCATTCAGAAAACTTTTATGCCAATAAATCTTTACTTATTTACTTGTCTGCTACACACACTCAGAGATACGTTTTGTGTCACCTTGTGCGACGATTGACGTTTTTTGTGCAATTATCTGACAAAAAATCTGCATATAAATGAATTATCTCTTCACAGTCCGATTAGCTGCGCTGCCCAAGCGTGCACAAACACAATGAGCAGCTGAGACACAGCATGAGAGGAGGGAGAAAACACATCAAGAGAGCTTGTCGTAATAAAAACCATTCAGCAAAACTGCTAATGGGCAAAAATCACCTCGTTTTGCATACAAAGAGCTTTTCTGCAAAACCTGAAACAGCAGGAAGACACTGATTCGGAGTCAGAGTCACTTAGATTAAAATGACAAAGGCAAAATATATCGGAGAGGAACAATTTTCAAGTTTATTCTGGTGGAAAGAGATAAAACAGCAAATATTTTAAGACGCCAAAGGATGTTGAGAGGGAGGTAACTTGTTAGTCTGCATCAAAGCCAGCAGGTCTAATGACTGTTCATCAAACACGGGAGCATACACTGCTGTTAGCACACTTTCAGAGGCTTTTCCACTTCAGCTTTCCTCCTGGGGGTGTTAAACTGGAGCAGACACACACACGCACACGCCCACACACACACACACAGGTGAGCCGGCGGGGCCGTGGGCAGCAAGTAATTTCCAGGACCTACGAGATTATCAGCACACGTTCTGGAAGATGGCAGGGAATCAGCCTTCAAGTTACCAAAACAGTTAGCGTTAATTGGTCTTCATCTGTCATCTCAAACAGTCGAGGACGGCTGGAGACGGAGAGGGGGAGCGGAGGACGGGGAGGGAGAGGGATTACTGACGGGACAGTGATGAAAATTGGTGGCGGGATAATGAGTCTCGTTGTCTTTTCATCCTCTCATCCTGCGTGTCTCTTGCTCTCATTATTCAGAGTAACTGGTAGGAGAGAGGCTTCACAGTCTGCTGCTTATTAAAAAACCCACAGCTCCGTTAGATGAGTTCATCAGTCTCTCCATCCCTCTCTTCCCCCTCCTCCATCCTTCCATCCATCTGACCGCGGGCGCTGCATCCATACCCTCCTCCTCTCTCAGTTTGAACTCCTACATCCTTCCTCTGATTCTTTATCCCTCACTCTTCCATCTGTTTATTTTTTCCACCATCCTGTAGAGCCGAGCAGCGAGACGGAGAGCTGCTGCCGCTGCTGATGAAGATGATGATGAGGCCTCTGAGCTCCAGACAGGGAGTGAATCAAAGAGCTCAGGAGAGGAAAAAGACAATCCCTTAGTGACAGATTAGGCTTTTATATAAAATAAGGGGCCTTCTCCCAATTTCCTGTTTATATTCTTTGTAGTTTTCCTCCCTGCAGGCCCACCTCTCTTCCTTCTCGTCCTTCCTTCCCCGTGTGTCTGTGCCACCATGGCAGATTGCTTGGAATCAATAAAGATGGTTGTTGGCAGACGAGAGTCGTGGGGCGGGACGGTGGCTCGCTAAATGCTCATTTCGCCTCACACAAATCAGCACCTGCGTTGAGGCCGACATGCGACGGCCGCGTTCTGCAACAATTAAAAACTCGTACAAATGTGCTGTGGGGAGAGGCTTGATGGCGCTTGCACGAATGTGCATATGGTGCGTTTTGACAGGCAGGCAGGGTGGATGGGATTTAAACAGCACAGAGACAGGAGGGAAATAGAGGAGGAGGGATGGGCTGTTACAGGGGATGATCAGGGACTGCTGACTGTTCAGTTCACTTTCACTTTTTAATTTAATTTATCCAGAAGGTAATTACTGCAGGGTGTCTGGAATACAGAGTTTCACCCATTTTAATGTAGACAAGGCAGAAAAATCCACACACCAAATCATTTGCACTGTTTGTTTGGGAATAAAGCTGAAGCCCAGGTTAATTTAGCAGCGACTTCCAGCTTTGTTTGCATTGTTGGGTGTGGCGTTTCTCGTGTTCACGTTGTAAATACTTTGTCTGTGGGTCTGGCGAGGTTGCTGGTTTGTTGAGTTTGATGACATGGCTCCCTTCTCACGACTAATCCACAGGTTGATGGAAGAGAACACAATGAAGAGGTAGTTGGCCCAGGTGATGGTCACTCGGCTGACAGTGGCTATGAAACATGTCAGCAATGAGCTGCTCCTTCATGCCCACTGCTACCCTGACTGAGTACATCAGGATCTCATCAATCAGAGGCATGCAGCAGGTAGGGCTGGCTTCAGCACATGCTTCCTCTCCAAGTTTCTGGTCTCTGGTCCAGTAAACCAGACGTGATGCAGAGGGAGCAATGGACTCCCAGAAGATCCGGAACACACATTCAGATGGAAATTTGGTGTAGAACCGGATATGGTCAACCGTCCCGGCCCCGCGCATGCGCACAACCGTCCCGGCCCCGCGCATGCGCACAACCGCCCAGGCCCCGCGCATGCGCACAACCGCCCCTGCCCCGCGCATGCGCACGATCGCCCCGGCCCCTGTGGGTGGATGTGCCGTCATGGTCCGCAGCAGCCTGGCTAGCTTTCTGAGAGAGGAGAAACTGCCGTTTCTTAGCCCTCTCGAAAGCACTCTCTCATTGCTGGTGCAGTGAAGTTATTTCCAGGCAAACAGGGAAGGAACAGCTCCACTTTTAAGGCGGCTGGTGGTGATCCGCTAACAAAATCCTCCGGTGTGAAGCGGCGGCTACATACGAAAGTGCTCCCCGTCTTTATGCAAAAGTCCGGACCTTCGTCTCTTCGGATCGCCTGGATCCACTGCTCCGTTGTCCGGGTCCTTCGGGAACGCATGATATGACAGATAAGGCTGTTTTCTTGCCCCACATGAACAACCAGGGACTGAACAAAAACAACTGCGCCAAGACTGAGCTTTGTTCCTAGCCTTTTAATGCTAACGCTATAGCCACCCGAAGTTGTCCAACCCCACATCCGCTTTCAAACCCGGAAGCGTGAAAAAGGTCTATTGCATCCAATAAAAAGCAAGAATTTTACCAACTTATGTGATTCTACAGTGTGATACAAATGAGTGTTTATCACTTTGCATGGTATTAATTGTGACATGACCATTCAGTCTGTAGACATTATCCAAATTAGTTCCACAAATAGAAAATCAGATTATTTTCTTTTCATTGTGAAAAGATCAGAACTAGGAAATTTGGACTGGAGTAAAAAAGTCTGATAATTATGGGTAGGCCTGCCACAATAATCAATAAATCAATTAATCACATGACAAATTAAAACAAACTCGATTATTTCCATTGCCATGGTTTATCAGATATCTCTATTTTTCTCTCTTTCTACCAAAATCTGGATGATAAAAGTCATCAGTTTGGTGTTTTGGTCTAAACAAATTTTTTGAAGGACAATTTTGTTTAAAAAGATTTCAAAATTTATTTTATTTGTTTACTTATTTATTTTGGATATTTAAGATGTCTTCCAGTTCCAGTGTTAAATGTTTATTAGGATGTAAAGTTTTCTTTTGTATTTTTATTTAGCCATTACCACTAACGTAAAAATGGTCTCAAAACAACAATATTACCGTTTATCCCAATAACGTTTGGAACAAGTTATCGTCCAGCAGAATGTGTCATTGTGACAGGCTTACAAAACAAAACAAAACAAAACATTGGATTTGGATTGCATTTGCCTTCTGTGTGGACTCAGCTTTTATCCACTTGGTGTTTTTCAGCTCCGCGTTTCGCATCTCTGGCTTCATTGTGTTCATTGTAGTGCAGTTTTAACTACCGAATTCCTTCTTGTTAAACATACTTTTCATTTCAAAGGAGCCTGGAGTGAGTAAGAAAAAAGAATGTTTTGATTTTAATTCCTTAAAGAAACAGCAGAATAAGCCAGCTGGGGGGGGAGAGGGCAGAAATATTTTCAGGCGTTGGCTGAGAGACTGAATGTCGCCCGACTGTAAATTGCTTTCCACTGTGCAGTTCACCGTCCTTGATCTTGGGCTTTGTAGTTTTGTCAAAGTGTAAAAATGCTTAAATTCCTCATCCAGAACTACAACACAGGAAAAAAATTATGCAGTGAAAGCCAAATGACCAAAGTTTACATATTTAACATTCAACAAAAGGTAATTTAAGAGATTTCTATGAAATGTTAAGGCTTTTAAAGGCATAAAATTTAGATTATTATTATCAATATTGTTGTTTTTAAGACCCCCTGTCAGCATCAGGAAGAATAAATACAAAATATACTGTGTTTGGAAAACAAAACGCGCTCTGGATTGTTTTTAATCCTTTTATCCAATTCTCCAAACCTTCTCCTGTCCTTTATCAGCCTCTCTACAACCTCAAAATTTAACAACAAGCAATAATAATCAATTATTTTAAAAGGCTCTAAAACTCTTTTCTTCTATAAACGATTAGTTGCTTTCATATAAATTTGGACACAAAAGCCTTAAAAAAATGTGCAAAGCGTTGCATTTTAGTTTGACACAGTAATTCAGATTTAAAGTGGGTGAGCTCAACAGCAGTTCAACTCAAAGATGTTTTCACCTCCAACATTCATCAGGTGATGAAGACAAACCAAGCTTTTGGAGGACAAAATGATGAGTTGTAGATACTTATGCAGTTCACTCAGAAAGCTTCACATCTTCATCCAATTTTCCCCCTGAAAATATTTTGCAAATATATTCAAATGAATGAATAGATGTGAATAAGTAAACACAGATTTTGCCCTGACGTCATGATGGGGTGCTGTGTGTAATGTCATCAACATACATGTTTATTGCAATCGTCTCTTGAAACATGCAAGAGTAACTCGTAATAAATGAAACCCTCTTCGGGTATTTATTGTCGCTCTCATCCAGACTCCTGCACAGAGTGATATGAGACAATGAAGAAGCAAATATGAATGTGAAATGCATTCCCAGTGGCCTCCTGACTCATTGACTCATATCACATCCAGAGAAATAATCACTTCACACACAAGAGGCCTGTGTGGTTTGCTTTATTAAGCTTTGTCGTGTTTCTCACACACACACACACATTTAATTGGAATCCAGATGCAGATGCGTACAGGACACGTGATGCACGGGCCGGGGAGTTGAGCAGCGGCTCGCAGGTTTAATGCAGATTTAGGAAGATTTTCAATAAAAACACTAAACGTCATTCCCCACCTTAATCACAATACCTCTGAAGCAGAAAGAAAACACATCAACATGTGAGAGAAAGAAGCAATCTTGTTGCAGGAGAAGGACTTGATCTGGAGGAGGATGTGATCTGGATGTGGCGGTGCGTATCCACAGCCTCCGAGTCTCAGAAATCCTCTCGCTCAGAGCTTGCTCCTGACAGTGGCCTCTGTGGGGGCAAGCAGAGAAATATTGGAAACTGTAAAACAAGTGAAGTGGACATTTTACCCAGGTCACACAGCGGTTTATGGCGGTTTGGCATTTAGGAGCGTCTGCTTGCCACTGTTAGCGAGGATTAGTCACTCTCGATTCAAAACATGCAAGCGCATGAACGTACATCAAACAGACAGCCAGCGTGGGCAGCGCGCGCCAGGTGTTGGAGACACATTAGGTTTATGGAGGAGGCTTGGAGGCCTGCCTGCAGCCGCTCTGTCACACAGGCAGACGGTTCTGGTCCATCTACCCGCTGAGCACCATTCAGCGCTGCTAAAAAACCTGCAGCATGTCCATTAGAGTGGAAGACGGCGAGCTCTTTAAAGAAGCACACCTGCAATTTCTGCTACACTGTCAAAGGAGCCAAAAAACACGTTGTCTGTCTGTCTGTCTGCGTTATTTCAGCTTCTTTTTAAAGGGGAAGTATTATGTATTTTTCATGCACATATCGCCATTTTATAGCACAATCAAGTAACTATATTAACTTCAGGTTTTATACAAATACTATAAATATGGAAATTTGGAATATGGAAGTCATCACAACATGGCTCCTCTTTTAACCCTTAAATAACATTTCACCAGCGTTTCACTGAGACGGAGCTCCTCTAATGAGCTCAGCAGATGCTCAGTTCCACCTGGTGTTTGCTAATTCCTGCTGGCTAATCTGAAGGAGCTGAGTGGAGGCGGGAGCTCAAACTGCAGCTCTGAGGAGGAGCTTCATCCTCAGGTGTTTTGCTCAGGTGAACTTTCATGACAGGATCAAAACAACAGTCCAGATTTGTTTTTGATGAGATAATAATGTTATAAAATGATGTAGAGCTCGAAAAAAGTCATTTTAAATATTTTATAAATTTGAAAGAAAGAATAACACTATATAAGAAAACAAACAGTCTGGAGTTACGTTTCTACAGAAAAACCCACAAACACGTGAATCCATGAAGACAGCAACTCGTCTCTAAATTATTCACACTCCTGGCTTGCTAAGACTTCAAACTATCTTTTAGTTTCACCAAGAGGTTTCTTCAGACATTTTGTGTCAGCATGGACAGTGAAGACTTGAATCTGATAGAGAATCTGCAGAGGGAGCTGAAGATCAGGGTGATAGTTTGGAGTCCTTCTAACCCTAAACACCCAAAGCTCATAAACACAGAGAAATAATTAAAATAAAACTGGAAACTTGGTCAAATCTGCTCAGCAATTACAAGAAGTTACAAGAATAAAGTTTTTTTTATTTCACTGAGCGGCGTAAATGATTTTATATTCAACTGGGAAAACTGGTTGAATAATATAAAAATAAAAAACTATCAAGAGGGCAACCTGTTTTATAAATGAAAAAGCTGTGAAACTAGAGCCGTTACAGGTTATAATTGAATGCTGTAGAATTATGGATTAAAAAAGTTAAAATATGTTTTTAATGAAGTTTTTATTGTGTGCATAATTTATTGTGTCTATGTTTAGAGTCAGAAAAAATGTGTAACATGAAAATTAACTTGAAAGTATCTAAACTGGAATTGAACTGATTATATCAATAAGTTCATTTTTTAATTTTTAACACATTTTTAACCCAAAATAATAAAAGATACCCAAAGGAAGTGCTTCACAATTCTTCTTAAAATGTTTCACACTTTACAACGTGTAATTTACTGCTCACTTTGCTGAAAAGACACAATAGAAAATGTAATTTTATTGGGTTAGAAATAAAGAACTGCACCAGAGTAACTTAATGCTCTGCAGGGCTACTGGTCAAATTTTTTATTTGTATTCTGCTTCAACCTTTGATCTGAACATATTTGATGTACCTTTTTTTTTTTTTTTTTTTTGCCATTTGCCAAATAAAACCTTCTCTTCATCTTTGCCTCAGAGGCTGAAGAAGGAGAGAAACATCTGATTTCAGCACAGGTTTCTAATTGATCCAGGGTCGTGTACATATTAAACCTGACATAAAGAAAGTTTATATACATTCCTGCCTGATGCATTTCAGTGTATAAAACATCGGCACTTTTACACACCTGATTCCTGGTACTTAAGATACTCAAACGTTCCTTATTGAGCAGAAAGCTTGCAGCACTCTGAATAAAAGTTTTATTAACCATTTTCTATTTATTTTCTTAAGATATGGTCTGTAATTTAAAGCCACCCAAGAGGAGAAAAATTTTTTGAACAGAAATAAGCCGCTCCTCTGTTTCATCCCGACTTCATTAATGATTTTCTGTATGTTGTTGTTTGTGTTTGTGTCTATGAGGGATAAAGCTGTTCTACAATTTGTGCCTGGATCTTTCTTTCAATGCTTTATAGCTTACTCCCCCCTGATTCTTTAAAGCTCATATCAAAGCAATAATGTCTCTGCCAAAGATCAAGATTTAAAAAGGTTAGATACAGATTGAATAAAACATCTGCACTCTGTTGTTTTCTAGATGGATCAAATATTGCATTTATGAGGAGCCACCTTTTCAGCTGATAAAAGGAACCAGAATCACAGCATGTGAGACTGACTGTAAATAAATTTCGATCCTCAGTGTGTCCTGACCACTCACACTTACTCCTGCTACATTTTTATCTTTGGTGGAAAATAAGAAAAGCAGGTCCAAGTGCATCACAGCTTCAGATCTCATTATTTTTAGCCATTGATCTTCCCTGAAGCCAGAGAAGAAATAAAAAGATAAAGCCCACCTGGATAGATCTGTACACAAAATGAATCGTCAATCTGAAAAGTGCTTTTCTCTTATTTTTTACCATTTGTGTGTTGGGGGATTTCACTTTGCGTGATGCAAATCCTTATTTTTATGGTATAGAATATGTGTTGCCTTGATCTGTCAAGCAGGATTCAGATCAGAGTTTTGCAGCGCGATGTCTTCAGATGCCTGAAGCATTTGTCTGCCTTTTACTCCCACATGCAGACTTAAATCTTTTTCTTTTAATTTCAAATTAAATGGCTTGGATTGAGTGAGTAAAGTTTGTCCACTGTGGTTTAAATAAACTTTTTTATTTCGCTTAATTTGCATCTAGTTTTTGAAAGCAGCTCCAGAAGATGGGAGCGAATGTTTAAGTTTACATGCAGCAAAGAGCTGCTGAGATTGTGATGTCATTTCCTGTTCGCATTAACTGGTCAGAGGATGAAACAGCCATGTTCCTGAGTATCAATGACTAGAAATCGATCTAATAGATTACTTTTGGGATGTGGATGAATATGGATCTGCACCAAATGCAAGAAGCTTGAACAATTATGTCTAATTTGAGGTAAAACATTCATTATATTTAAAGTTATCGTACCTCAGTAGCTGAAGCTTACCTACTTGAAACAACTTAAAGCTTTTGCATATTGTACAAATGTTACATTTTATATGAAATAGAAATCGATGCACAATATTGAAATGAATCTGCTCTAAGCACTGAAATAACAATAATGGAATAACCATCTTATTCTGTCACTTACATAAACACTTAATGCAAAGGTTTACCCATCAATGCTAAAATTATTGTGTGGCAAAAAGTAAGAGTAAAAAATATTTTCTCATGTGTGTTTTTGCTAAATGTAGTTTGGATATTTTCACTGAGTGTTGAAATAATGCCTCAGTTTTGTGTCCTTGCTCTTTAACCCAGACAAATAAGGAAATCAGAAAGTTGCTAACAGGAAATGCTGCAGCTGATTGGTGCTGTGGGCCTCCTGGGAGCCTCTCTGATTGGGTTTCTTCTGATACGTTGAACTCCATAATAAGAAATAAAATCAGAAGGATCAATTATGTTGAATTTTTGCTCAGAAAATGCTTAGGAGGACGAAGGTGGAGTATGATTTATGTAGGTGGTAAAAGCGGGGCGTTAGGGGTTAAGACTGCAGTTGTAATACTGACGCTTAATTTGAATAATTGAGTGAATGAGCGATCATGCTTAGCAGACGCACCGTTTAGCAGCATAACTCTATAAATCACAAATGTAATCAAAACAAATGGGAGAAGTCATCATGTAACAGCACGAGCCAACATGAAATCCCATCAAATTTACGCAGTTACCAAACTTAATTTACCACACAGATCAATCTTTCATTTCTCAAACTCTGAAGAAGAATGATCCAGAAATAAACTATTGTTAGAACATTTTTCACAAGCAGCCCGTCTTCCTAAAACAACTAAAGCAGTTTTAAGTTAGCTAGTACACAGCATGCTGGTTACCTTCACTATAATCTGTAGGAATGGGTCAGGCTGAAGTGGAGACAGGCAAGAAAAAAATCAAACAAAGACATTAAAGATGGAAAAGCAGCAAAAAAAGATGTTTGATCTACATTTAAATGTTACATAGCATTTATTGAATGATTTATTTCTTGTTGGCTGCTGGTAAATCTTACAGAAATGCTGAATGAAGCTTAAACGTTATCCAGGTTGAGTCAACTTATTGTTAAATTCTCCCACAAGGTGCCAGTCTGTCATTTCTCTTTACACTCCCACTTGATAAATCAGCTTGTAAATATTTATTTTATAAACTTAAAAATACAAAATAATCTTTATAATTAAACTTTAAAATTCAAAGATTCCCCTCCAACGTCTCCATCATGTCCGATATGTGGGCGAATCAGACAAACTGTGTTAATTATTGTTGATGTTTATTGTTTCATCATTGTTTCACCATACAAGGCTTCCAGTAATGTCATAATGTAAGAATAATGACTATTATGCTGTAAATGACAAGCAGCATTTTATGAGCTGGGCATATTTTGGTGGGATGTGGGTGGATTGTTGAGACAATTATTTAGATTTTCTTTGTTTTCAAAGCCAAAACAAGCTTTCAAAAACACATTTAAGAGACGCAAACTGCGTGTTGGAGCAAATTCCAGTGTATGCCCCTTAATGTCACCGACTAAATCCTGTTTGTGTGGCACACATAAACTGCAGCTCAGTTATAAATACCGTTTAAAGTAGTGCTGGATGGCATTTTAAGGAGTGTAAACAACCATTGATTGTTGCTTAAAAGCCCCATTCGTATGTGAGAGAGTGAATGATATCGGGACGTTTGTTTGGAGACAGAAGTCGTCTCATTGGATGTTTTGCAGAAACTGAGAACACAGCAGAGTTGAGATCCAACATTTAATAGAGGAAACGTTTTGAGTGATGCAGCTGCTAAGTAGCTTCCTGACTGGAAAACCAGAACCAGCTTAGGACTGAAAGCGCTGTGGTGCTTTCTCACCTGGTTACTGTGCAGCCTTCCCTCATATCAGGTGTTTGATGTGTTTACACAGGGTGCATCACTCTCTCAGATTGCATCAGGGACTTCTGAAGGTCAAACTCAACAATCCAACAACAAATAAACGAAGCGAATGCATGGATGATTTTCTGTTTGTTACTGTTGGCCGTCACCTTCATACAGATCGCTGCACTCAGTGTAATAACGCTGCCTGCGCCCATCAACTGTGCTGCGGCTGAATAACGGCAAAGAGCCGCTACAGCCGTCTTGTTTACAACCTCTGAAGTCTTTTGTGCAAAAATCAACATCAATGTTTACATTTAGCTCACCAAGACATTGTTACAATAATCAGCCTGGTGAGGTGAGATGAATGAAAGGAAATGGCTCAGAACTGCAGGAAGAGAAGTTTGAAGTCTGTTTTCTTTGGTCAAGATCGTTCTGTACTGGTTATGACAATCACATCTGACCGAGCTGACGTGTGTGTGTTTGTGCTTTAAGACACTATGAACTGTGTGTACATGTGGAGAAAAGTGTATGTTTATTTAATGTAATTAAATTGATCTAAACAGGAAACATTTACTCAGTCAGTGTTTACTGGCCTCCTGCTTGTGTGAACGTGCTGGAAGTGCAAACAGCGCAGGGTGGATGATTAAGTGTGTCTTCCCACCACTCTCTCTCTCTCCCTCTCTCTCTGTGTGTGAGTGAAAGTAGTTAAATTTGACTGAGCTGAGCTGTTGGTGCTCTAAAAAGTGTGTGTTTGTGTTTTCTGGGGCAGACGGCTCACCAGGAGGGAAGTAGAGCGGGAGGTTCTGCAGATACAGCTCCTTATCCGTCGGCAGGAACACGCAGAAGATGACTCTGTCCAGCTGACACACACACATTAACACACACATTAGCACACAAGACACACACATTAGCACTCATAAATGACCTTTATAACAAGCATATGCAGTAAATGTGAAGTCATCAGTTGCAGGTGGGAACCGTATGTGTGAGAATGCAGCTAATGCATCAGTCCATTACTCCACCATTATCTTTCCATTATGAAGCCGCCGCGACCAGACGTTTATTACGCTGCATGCCGAGGACAGAGAGCAGGGGCTGTGCACAGAGGAGGAGCACGAATGTTTGAGACAAAAACGAGTTGGAGGAAATCTTTAATGGTACTCCCATTGTGAGAGTGCGAGTACAGAAGAAAAGCTGCATTTTAGTGCTTTTCCATCAGTGTTAAGTTGCAAAAACGACTCAAAGCAACAATTTCAGGTGAATTTCAGATCTGCTGCTGGGTCTGGTTATTTTATGCTTCATGCTTTTTATTCCAGTATGCGAGTCATTTCAGGCTCGCATATCTATTATCAGCTTTTACATGACTGAAAAAGTTGCAAACCTGCCCTTTATTCTTTGTTTCCAAGGAGACCAAGTTTTCTTTGATCTACCTAATTGTTTGAACTTTCTATGATGCTATAATCTTATTCCCTCATCAAAAATATACCAAGTGTGTTATTTTATTCTTTCATTCATGTTTGAGACATCCTTGGATCTCATTCGGCGGCCATTTTGGGGTGAATAAATGCCTCCCGAATGGCTGTATTACACAGATTGTCTTAGCTCTGCTCACAAAGCATCACCTATTTCCACAAAGCTCATCCTCCTCCTCCATGCATTCTCACACAGTTCCTTCAGACAAGCAGCAGCAGATATTCGTGCACCTGCTGGAACTGTGAGACTATAAACGGCATAATGTAGGAGCATTGTTGTGATGACGTCCTGTTAGAAAAAGTAGGATCTTCTTAAAGAGATAGAAGCCCAATTTCAAGGTCTAAAATTGCCAAATGAAATTTCTATGAAGGTATGTTTGATATATACAGTACTTCTATAACAACTGAAGTTAACATAGCTACTTGATTGTGCAATAAACTGGAATAGTGTGTATGGAAAATATATAACGCTAACCCTTTAAGTTCTTCTTTGAAATTTGGTTTCTTCATGAATTTTCTCTCCATTTTCTGTCCATCCTTGTATTTGGCCAGAATGTTTGTTGTCTGTTTACAATATAAGAAAATAATCAGGTGGGGAACTAAATTTATCAGGGCTTTAACTATAATTCTGCTCCATAATTAGCTGATCATCAAACGTATGCCAGGTTTTCAGCTACTAGAGCCATAAAAAAACAGCCTTTACATAAAAAAAAATATATACTAATTTATAAGTTTGATTATTTATATAAATTCAATTAGAGAAGTGTTTGGGATCTTCATGATAAGCTGATGGTAAGAAAAACACTTTATTTAAGTAAAGAGCTTGTTTTAAGCTTTATTGCCTGAAACAACAAGAGGGTACAAAATGCTTCCCATGATGCATTTTGCTCCACAGAAAAACCTGTAAATAGGGGAATCAGCGAAAACTGGACCTCAAATAGGTTGGGGTCAACTGTAAACTAGAATAATTGAAAACAAGATGTAAAGCATGTAGAATAGACCGACTTTGCCAATTGCAGCAGTTCGGACCGTTTATCATTTTCCTGCCTGAGGCTCATTTGTTTCTCCCTGTTTTTATTTCTAGTTGAACAGGACATCTTGACTTTTATTGGAATATTTTGATTTATCACCTACTTTGCCTAAAGCACCTTAGTCAATGGAAAACAGTTTTTTTGATGTAATATGGACATGCATTTTGAATGATTGGTGCAGAGTATAACTTCAGATTTTTTGCATGATATAACGCAGATATTCAGATTCAAGCCGGTGATGAAAGTTACTGCAGGTCCTTGCAGGGCCCAAAGCTGCTCTCACTCTGATTGTCATTATTACCACTTTAATATTTGTTCAGGAGTTATACTTTCTCTGTTTCCACCATCTCATCCCAATTTATAGCCAGGCTGTTTCTGCCTGTTTCCTCCCAGGTGAGGGAGTTTAAGTCCTGCTGCTCACAGAGACGGATCCTCTCAGCAGCTGGCTCGCCCACAGCCTTTGGTTTTCAGTCCAGGCTTGCTACACAATTACCATCACTCACCAAAGATTTGCATAGAGTGTAAGAGAAGGTATGGAAATGTGTGGTAACTACATCCCTCGGGCTGAGGTTTGAAAATCTAACCTGCACATTAAGGTGCTTCTGCTCGCAGCGGGAAACAGTAAAAAGTGGTGAAGTAATTTTGATTACTTCACAGCAGAGAGCCTGCAGATGCTGCTGTTAACAATAACATCAACGAAATGTAACGACTCCCTCATGACTGCTCATCTCTAATGGAAACAAAACTTGTGAATACTTTCTTCTCAAAGTGAAAGCATCAACATTAGCATTCGGCACAACCTTCTAGCCAACAGCAGCTTGGAAGTGAGGAGGGAAGCATTTAGCTGGTTATTGGTGGACGTATCGCACACTCAGTTCCCTCCCCCTCAGTGGAAACACCAAGTAGAAAAAGCTGGACCTTAACCACCTTTTGAATTATGATAGCAAATCAAAACATTCAATATGTGTTGAAAATAATCTTCAGGAGTTAAACTGTCTTTAAATTGAGCTGTATCAAAATGTTTATATTGTTCTGATGCAATATTCTAATTTTAAATATTTCTATTGACTATAAACAGACAATTACATTAACTGATAGAAATGAAGGCTTGACAACATCAGTGGGAGTGTAATTAATCACTTAGTGAATTGAGTAATTGAGAGAAATGAATGTAGTATTCAAATTGACTGAATATGACATGAGACGTCTTTTTCTTTTTATAGTTTGTCTCCGTGGTTCTGCTGGTAGAAGACGGCATGAGATGGTATGAAACACTTTCTGTATAAAACTATCGAGTAAAAATCAACTATCGCTCTAGAAACCTAGAAAACGGGTCCATAGCTAGAAACCAAAATATCAAATCCAGTTCTGATTTTGAAACCTTTTTACTTCTGAGATTGCTTGTGTTTGCGCAGAATATCGATCGATATCCTTACATTATCACTATCGTGGAGTTTTGCAAAATTAGAGAATAGAATAGAAATAAACAAGCAATTCATTATTCCTGAAATGACTTTTTCTCTGGAGTTGTTGTTGCTCAGCAGAATTAGTGCAGCTTAGGAGTTTTTAGGGGATTTACTCGCTTAGGGAGAAAATCAACATAAACCTTGATCACAGTGACTATGTTGGTGTTTTTACCCTTTAATCCTCAGCTGAAAATAATAATTTGAAATAATTTGATTGATGCTAAATATATATTAACATTTGAATTTTAGAATCAAACAAACCTAATTAATAACATTGGATGGATTGTTGAATGAAGGAGCGATGGAAAGCTAGAAGGAGGCATGGGTGTTTATTTAGTTTTTTGTTTGTGTGACGGTCTCGACACCACTCACCAGCTACGTAAATCTAGTTCCTTAGATCATCATCAGATGTTCATGCATACAGTTTTGGGTAAGTTTGAGTTTATTTCTGCAGCTAGTGATGACTAATTATTGAGAACCAACCCACTTTGAGAATGAAAAGTCCTCACACTGGCTGCAGGAGGCGAGGCTTTGAGAGGAAAAATGTTTCCCTCAGTGCAGCAGCAAAATGAAAACTTCAGCTGAACTTTTCCAACCGCCTGAAACTAATTTGGATCATAAAACGACTACAAAACTCATGAGTCTTACTCTCTTAAAATGATTTTGCTGCCGTTTCATAAATAAATTTATTGCGTTTGATGTGGGGTGTTGGCACATTGCCTCGTGTCTTGAGTCCATTTTGTGTCTTACTGTGTCTGTAATTTTCTAATTCATTTGCCGCACAACAGCAGCGCGAGCCAAACCAGGCCCAACAAAACTCCATGTAAAACATCTAAAACAGAGGGGGGTTTAATTGAAGAAGAATCGCTCATTTTCCTCTTGTGCACACTCAAAGCTTCAAATGTATGCAAATAAAGTCATTTTTTTAATTATTTACTTTAAAAATCCACAACAGAGGAACTTGTGGGTGGAACAAAAAAAAAAAAGTGCCCTGTTGGGTTAGTTTTCTGGCTTTATAGCCAAACATGTGAGGCTCTTTCGGGCTCCGTTGCGTGATGTACATGTTTGATTTGTTTTGCTCGCACAGGCTGATGGCATCGGTGCGCTGGTATTGCGACAGAGCCTCTGGAGATGAGAGAGCTAATAATAACCCCTGACACCAGCGCATGTAAGGGGGAGGGACTGCAAACCCGACAGGTGGAGGATTCAGAAACGACCGATCGGAAACTTTCCGATTGTCTCCGATTGCGCCCTTCTCTCTCCCCCCTCCAGTCATCTACTCCATCATTTTGTCTTTTCTCTGCTTGTTTTTTCTCCAGGGGGAAAATGTGTGTGCATATGTGTGTGTTTTTTCTGTGCAAGTCGGGCCTGGTCCCGCAAGGAGCCAATTAAAACGCAGACTTGGCCATGAGCATGAGAGCCACAACTTAGGCGTGTGCGTTTAAGTGAAAGGCTGCGTGCGCGCGCGTGTCGCTGTGTGTTTTTTTTTATGTACCCTCTCGCAGTTACAAGAAAACAAAAAACAACAGCTGTGAAAGAAATAATACCTGGAGGAAATGGCAGGGAAAAATTGCCAATCATGCAGGCACACACGCACGCACACACGCACGCACACACGCTTATATACCCACCTTGTCATGATGCGCATCAAGAAACTCCCTCACGGCTGCTAGCGCCTCGTGCACCGCCTGTTCAGGTGGATATCCTGCGCAAACACACACAATATCAAAAATGTGTGAGAACAGGTGCAGAAACAGATCTGTGCCGTTGCACTTGGCTGATGTTGTTTTTTTTTTTTTTTTTGGAGACAGGTATGTTTTTCTCTCCACTACTCTGAGTCTCTGTGCTCCGTTTCCTCACTTCGTCTCACCTCGCCTCGCCTAATCCGGGGCGATGCAGACACAACACACTTGTTGGTTGAGAGGAGACAGACGGAGCAGGACTGCCACCAGTAAAAAAAAAAAAAAAAAAAGCTTCAAAATGTTCATATTCTGGCCAAACAAACAAATTTAATATGACTAAAAACATAGTTTTACGCCATCTGCGAGAACTGACTCAGAATTAGAGTTTAATTAGGTGTAAAGCTTTTAGTAATCAATTAGCATAAAAACTTTTTATCCACTAACAGTTAAAACATGGAGTCCTGCTCTGTTTCACTGCTGTTTGAACTTGCACACTTTTAGGCTTTAAGGTGAGGCCTGTAGCTTATTTCACCTGAGGGTCAGGGGTCAACAGTTTATTTCACCTTATATGACCTCACTACACCTTCATTTTGTTTGCTTTCAGATTTTGGCAGCTCAAACTATTTTCCATCCTGGTGAATATTTTTTTAAGCAAGTCTCTTCTTCAAAAAGAGAAATGTGAAAACAGATTCCTATTAAAAAAACCTTTTCAAACATGGATGCTTCAGAACAGGAAAGGTCAAAATTTTATTATGGTTTTAAAAGAGAGAGAATTTATCAAAAGATGTATTTGTTGTATCACACAGGAAATTTATTTCATTGGATCGACTTTCCTTTTCAGCTCTCGTTCATTTGTGGGTGTCTGACGACAGAAAAGCTGCCAGTATTTATCATCACTTTTTAATTATCTGGCAGGTGAAGAAGTTTCCAGGTGGGGAGTTTATTCAATCTGATTATATGAAAGTCAAATAGTTCTTAAGTTGAGAGCGGAGGATGACTTTATTGGACCTTTTCTCACCTTGGACTTATATTAGCATGACTGGAGAAACAGTCCTAATAACTTCTGATAGGAACTCAGTCAAATGGTTCAGAAACAGATTTTAAAACAGCTGCTTTCTAAGTTCCTGTAAAATGTAGATGTGCTACGGACTAGTTTTCAGTTATTTTTCCTTTCTGCTTTCATCTATATGCGTCTTTTTTCCACCAAACATGTTCGAGTGCTAACACTGACGTCTTCCTTGGTTGCGTTCTTCATGTTTTCACTGTTTGTGACCCGTCAAACCAATGCTCTAAACTATAGTCAGCTTTGTTTTTAATATAATTTAAAATAAAAAACTGTGACAACTCTAATAAAAACCAGATTAGCATGTGAATAACACAAGTTCACACGCTGCAGACTTTACGAGCTGAGCTTACAGTCGATATTGTAGCACAACTTGAGCTGTAATTAAACCCTGCAGAAGTTCTTGACATTATCAAATGGCAAACAATGCCAAAAATCAAAACTGCTGCAGAGTATGCAGCTGAACTGGTGCACTCCAGTTATTAATTCAACGTCATTATGAATCATTGAAAGACTTCATTAGATTTATTCTTTTAGCAATAAGTCAAACTTTTCATTCCAGGTGGAGATGCACTTGAATTCTGCAACGTTATTTTTGCCTTTTCATAGATTATTGTGATTTATTTGCCTTTTATGAATGAAGCTAATCTGTAACTGAGAAGAGAGAAAATCATCTGTCATTGTCTTTTACATTTTATTACTAGAAGTAGAAATCGTGTCTATCACGGATAGAAATGTCCACTTGGACAGTCACCTTCAAATCACATATATGTGTTTTGTGACAGATAAGTGTTGTGGCCAGATCTCTCTTAATAAAGGCATATTAATCATAATAATGCCAAGGTTTCCTCTGAATCCACCAATAACATCTCTGAGTTTTTTTATCTTGCCAGGTGACATTATTAAAGCTTCCTCCATTTTTCCATGGCTGCTGGTGGTTGTCAGATCGAAGATCATTTGAGATAAATTATGAAGCTCTCAAAAGTGCCACTTTTTAAGAAGAGTGCTAAGAGAATAATATGGTGATACTAGAGTCATCTGTTTGGTGGGATAGTGAAGTAAATACAATCTGTGAGAACAACAGTTTCCAAGCTCTGATATCGTCTTTAAAAACTGAACAGAAAACATTTTTCGATTTTCTGCTCTGGTTTTACCGTTGAGCTAACATCTTCGCAGCCGCGATAACGTTCCTGTAGGGGGAGCTCTAACCCCTGCAGCAGCTCGGAAGTCTAATCAGGAAAGAGATGAAGTGGTGAGGTGAAACAGGTGCAGCGGAGAAGAGACGAATTAAAAACCAAATTAATCAGGACCTGTTTATTCCAGCAGCGACAGAGAGGTGTCAACCGGAGCTCATAGCACCGGTTGACACCTCAGGCTCTGTTTAAGCACTATCCCAAACTCCCTCTTCTGCCAGCGTGAAAGGGATTACAGTCACTCTGACACAATCTCAGAACTAATCTATCATAATCTGCCGGCTATAATCCCAGGCGTTAATCTGTAAACCACCTCGGGGTTAGAGGAGAGGAGAGGAGCGGCTCTGGGTAAGCGGCGACAACAGAGACAGTGACGAAACGTGTTCACACAGATGAACGCTGAAGCGTTGCTGTGGTCTGAGGAGGAAACAGACACTGACCGTAGATTCCAGTGGAGATGCAAGGAAAAGCCTGCGGAGAAAAGGAGAAGAAATCAGAGACTTGTTTCCATTTCAGCTCCAAACTATCCAGACTTTCTTACACATTTTACTGAAAAAAGATCCTTCATAAATATCAGCATTTTAAACATTTTCACATAAACCATCTCCCTAATCTGGATTTTATTACCTGCATAACAACATATTGGTGGATCTGCAAAGGGAGGCACTACAGTTTGTTCCTTGATTTTAACTCAGGTCACCAATTAGCCTCATCTGACCTGGACTGGTGAATCCTACATTATTTACCAAGCTTATTTATCTTTAAAGCACAGCTTGTGACACCTGACTGCTGCATTTTGTTAATAAATAATTCAATTTGAGATGTACGTCTATGAGCAGAGGTAAAAAAAAAATCCTCCATTTCAACATAAAACTATTCAAGAATGCACTTTTTTATCATTTACAGAAAAACAGAATAACATCAGAAACTCACATTTGTAGGTGTGTTCATAGTTATCCTGATATGACAAATTATTAGAGCTAATTTTAGATTTTTTCATTCAAACTATTATGAAAGAAATCAACTTTGAGCCATTGACATTAAATTCTTTATATCTGAGTTGATACTTCCTCTGTTCTCAGTAACTGTTCATCTGAACTACTTAAACATAGTTTGTCACAGTTTTTTAATCTATAATTTAAACCAGTTGCTAAAATCTGCTACTTCAGAATTAGGAAAAGACTCAGATATTGATTCAATTAAACTGAGATAAACTGTAGTACCGCCTGTAATTTTGACCTTTCATATTATTTCCAGTAACGTGAGAACGATGATACTTCATTAACAAATCCTTTTTTCAGTCACTATGAATTGGAAATTCAATAAATTTAATGTCCACATAAGGAGGCGTGTAAATCAATCAAATGGAATAAAACCAGTTGTGAAATAAATTGAGATGATTCAAATCAGCATTTTCTAGTCTAATCTCACATTTCCAAAGAGGCAGATTTCACAACAGCTTTACATTTAGATGCATTCAGTTTCCAGACACACACACAGTCACACAGTCTGTCTGTCCTCACAATGACTTTGCATTGACATCCATTCGTTTTTCATTCATTTCTATAGGCTAACCTTGAGACAATGGGTCCACCACATTAGGCCCAACAGCCTTCAGACGTTTGGTAAATATGCCACAAATCGTCGTACATAGGACAGTTAAACAATCACACACACGCACACACACACACCTCCACATGAACGCGGCAACAACTGTGAAATAAAAACTGTAAGTTCCTAAAAAACAGACTGCAGGCGTCTGACACCTGCTGTTCTTTTTTTTCAAAACAAAAACATTATTTCAGAGTAAACAACTCTGTTCACCAAAGTCTTATTTTGCTCGAGATAAAAAACCTCTCATGTGGTTTTCTATATAAAACCACTACTGCACTGTTTGTCAGTCTGCAGTTTTATCAGGCTCCTCTGCAAGCAGCAACCATGTTACATCCATCATGTTTGTGTTATTATAGTATAATAACACTCTTGTAAGCAGTGTCGAGGGTCCAGAGTTTATTTTGTTATCCATCTACCAGAATCTAATCCTCGGGCTCACATTGAACAATGTGATAAACCTGCTTATGTATTTAATCCATCATCCTGTGCTTTATGACTCCAAACATATTTATTATAAGGAAACGTACACAACAACAAAAAAAAAGATTTTAAAATCATGTTTCGCTTTAGAAACTAATAGATAATAGATTGATAAATGAATAGACTCAAAACAGTTAATAATTGTGTTCTAGATAAAGTTAAAGGTCTGAAACAACCAGCGAGGATTTTGCTTATTAACAATTATTAGTAATCTTTAATATTAAAATAGAGCAATCTCTGTAATTTAACAAGAAGCATTAGCATGAGCCTGATTCTTTAGCTTCCTGATTATAGCTGAAGGCTGAAGGTGCTCAGAAACTGCTTTGTGACATGACCAACTTGTTTTTCAAAGTTCACTCAGAGAAAAGCTTTTCTTTAGCCTGCAATGCATTCAAGTACCTGATTAATGTATTCAGTTTCAGCGTTTAATTGGAAATGCTTTAAATTAATGATAATAATAAGAAAATCCTTCATTTAAAACTCGTAAATCATTTATTCTTCATCAGTCAGGGCCGTCTCACTCAACACATGCAGCTAATTCTGTGCTGAGGGACGAAAAAAAGCCTCTTTCACTCTGGTCAGTAATGTCATGGGTACAGATTGTTATTCTCAAATTATGTCATGTTATAATGCAATGTAAACTGTTTTTGAAAAGTCCAGCTTCCCCTAAATATGGGGTCTTAAATATAAGTTAGAGGTTTGGTCCAGGTTGTCGTAATGAATGAGCTTTTACTCCAGTTTTATGTCTTTGATTTAGATTTTCATTTTACTTCTACTCTGTCTGGTTGTACTTTTTCATTTGTATACTTAATGTTAAAACTTCTTGGGATTTTATAGCCTAAATTTAAAAATGCAGTCAAAATAAGTCCACTTCTAGTGTGTCCTCGTTAACAGCAAGACATTTTTTCTGAGTCTGTCAAACCGATATTTAGTTTATTTTGTGGTGTTGTTTTTTTCTCTGCCGTTTTTCGTTCACTGTTTTGTTCTCGTTTTATATAACAGGGCTCTGACTGATCGATTGCTGGCTGCAGGTTGGATACTGACTGCTGAAAGGAACTCCAGAGAGCTGCAAACGTGAAAATGGAAACTGTTTCTAAAAGCAGAGTATATTAGAAAATAATTACACACAGACATCTTTGGAAGTAGCATGGCAGACTGCCTGAAGCTGCAGGAGCCTAAGTTTACACCAATTATGTGACCCCACAGACACATTGCAATTAAAATGACCTCAGCTCAAATGGAGGAAGCTGAAATCTGAGAAAACTAAATGCATGCCAAGAATGCAGCTTTGAATCTTGAACTGAACAGTCAAAGAAGGCAAAATGAAACCATTTATCTCACAGATAATCCAGAAAGGCCTTGAACACAGCTACTGTTTTAATCATGTTTAAATATTCTAATCAAAAAACCATCTAAATTATGTCTATCATTAATAAATAAATGCGTAAGGCCATTCCTATTATACACGGCAATAAAAAGCAACATTGGATTAAAGTGTTTACCTCTCAGCATTCTAAGGAGAAATAAGTGTAATCCTACTTGAATAAAAATGACCAAGATGACAGGTGAACCTAAATGTCTTCAACAGAACCAAGATGTTCATTTGGATAATTCATGTGCAGGACTGTAACTATAAGTCAGTAAGAGCCATGTGTAGCAGAACCATGCAAACCCACAGCCCATGATGCGAGTCAGGCTGCCAGAAAACTTCACGTTTGGCAGATTCTCAACCTGCTGTCAGATGAGGCAGCGCCGGCAGATGCCAGGACGCCCCCCCCGTCCTGCTCAGATCATTTAACCTGACTGCTGAGCTTTAACACACAGCGATGGCAGATGTGACTCACGATCCCCTCGAGGCCAAACAGAAACATATGACTTGCCATTTTGTGGATGTGCAGGGATGACTGTTGCATCTGTCTGTGGATTTGTCAGAAATGAAACGACGCAGCAGCTGCTGATAAATGACGTGTTGGGATTTATTCCTAACCTCCACACCTCTGCTTTTATTTCATGTTTCTTGTTTTTCTCTGCCGTTGTTCTCGGTTGAACCTTCAGTCCGGCGTGTTCTAAATAACCTAACAATATAAAACTCCTACTCCCTTTTCACTTTCCTCTCTCTGCCTCAGCATGAACACAGTTTTCTTTGAAAAGGCTACATGTGATCAATCTTTTCTCTTTACTCCTGGTTTCCCTGCAGCTACAGATTCTCACCACAAAGAAAAACCCTGCAATTTAGTTCTATTGTCCTCTGTTGGACTCTTACAGATTTCTGGGCTTTCTGTATTTCAACCTTGCCTGTCATCATTCCTCTCTCTCTCCCTGTCAGATTCATCTGATCCAGATGTTCTCACCACAGATCGAGCAGCGTTTTCAGTGGCAGTCTGCAGGCTGTTCCAGTAGCATGACCTCAGAGCTCTCCTCTCCCTCTCACCGACCCCTCCCTGAGCAATCGGCCCCACGGTGTGGATCACATCTGCAGAGACAGAAACAGAGGTATGAAGATGCTGCTTTCTTGTTATTTATTAATAATCCTGAGGAAAAAAGCAAGGAAAGTCTCCATTGTTCGAAAAATTCACCCAAAATCCAAAATGACGTGTTTTCTGTGGAAACTCATCTTCTCTCCGGTTCCTAAGAAGAAACACATTCTGTTGTTTCCATGAAAATTAACTCTGACATGCAGGTCATTCAGAGTTTTAAAAAGTATAAAAACTCGGCAATATTTCCTCACTTGAAAATCCAATTTTACAATTAATCTTAGTTTGTTATCTGCAGTCAACCTGATGTGCAGAGAGGGGCAGATCTCATCAAAATGTAAGAGACGTGTGAACATGACAGACAGTAAAACAAATCCTATCAGACAAAGATCAATTTGTTAAAGTATTGGACTATCAACTCACTGATTAAGTTGTGTTCAAGTCTGATTGTTTCTAGAAATGGACGGCAAATAGAGCTTCACTTTATATTTCAATATCACAACTGGATCCTGAAATCAATCCATTAAGTAGCAGTTCAGAGCACTTTAAAATCACAAAACACAAAATAAAGAGTTATAAAAACGATAAACATTCAATTTTGTTCATCATTAGAAAAAACTACAAGTGTTTGAGTGACTGGGGTGAAACTGTTGGGAGGTGAACACTCTAAAATCATAATTTATCAGAAAAAAGCTTTAGATGTGATGAAACAAGCGATGCATTTCCTCTCTTTCTGTCTTCTGCAGGTTGTGATGTCATGCAGGCGTTCCTCCACTAACTGCATTGAGGTAATCTCTTTAGCAAGTTTCCTCTCAGGTCTCTGAAATGATTCTTCCTAATTTGGGGATCAGATTAAGCACAGAGTAAGTAAATCGAGGTGAACTGGGGAGGTTAGTGGTGGGTGGGAGCACAGCAGAGACTCTCATAACGACACGCTGAGCAGGACAGCCGTGGAGATGTGGTTTAACACATGAACGCAGCCAGCGCCACACATTGTGATGAGACTCAGCATGCTGCTCTCAGTGTGAAACCCGCTGCTGTCATAAGACCAAGCCGGACCCACTCTCTTAGAAGAAGAAACTACAAACAGAAAGAAAGAAATGTGGACAAGCAAGAGTATTTTTCTTTCCACGCTTTAGGACAACATAATTGTTGCATTTGACCACAGATCATGTCTGACACTTGGGGACTCCGGAAAAATATTTTGCTGCTCACACGAGTGTTTTCTCTGCCTGAAAATAAATAAATCATCTTCCTATTTGGAGATTAAAGATTTCTGATCTTCACAGCCCAGGAGAAATAAGCAGCAACATAATCAGCCAGGTGGAAACTTATTACCTTGTCCAGTAGGAGTCAAAGGAAACTACAGGGAAGACGATTTTTCTGATTTACCTGGAGGCTTGCAGGAATCTCCTCCTAAACAGTGAATATTGACAGGAAGAGAGAAAGGCTTGGATGATGTCAATATTGTTTGACTTTGTGATAAACTAATAAAAAGTTGAAGTTCATATGCAGAGGTTTAACCAGGATGCAATTTTCTTTGTCCCAGCTTGATTATATTAGAATTGATCAGGGATTGATCGCTCCACTCATTTCTGTTCAGTGAAATCATAAATTAAGACGCTTTCTATGAGGAAAATTGTTAGTCATGTCAAACAGTGGAGAATATGTAACCCTGTGTCCCACCTAAATTACTGGGCACTCTCTTTAAACATTCTTGATCCTTCAGCCAGAGGAGTCAATCAGCTAATTGATTACTGACGTCCAATAAAACATGTTCCTGTTCACGTTATCTGACAAGTTGAGAAGATTAATTTGTTTGGTTGAAAAAAGAAACACTGCTTACCTACATTTGTTTAACTGCAGGTAATATTCTGCCGTTAGTCAAAGACACTTCATCTGTTCAGCATTTTTATAGTTCAGAAAACCTACTGTACGAATATTCAAACAAGTAGTTTTTAAATGGACTTTTCTGATACAATAAGAGCCTCCAGAGGCACCAATCTATAAAATCACATCTGCACTGGCGTATATGGACTGATGATGTAACATTTAGAGTAGCATAGGGCAACCGCTTAATTTTATGAACAGAAATTGGACTGTTTTATAGGGGAAAAGACTTTTCCGTAAGAAATATGGAAATGGACATAGAGGCACTTATTGGCAGCACTAAACGATCCCAATAGATCCTTTATGCAAGAAAAGTGGATGAGGTTTGTGAAAGCTGTGTTTTCAAACTAGCATAATGCAGAAATTTGGCTTCAACATCAGGCTGAGGTCAAAGTTATGTCATGGTTAAATAAATGATCTCAATTAGCAACCTAATCAATCAGGAGATCAACCAGGAGATCAACCAGGAGATCATTGTGCTTCTTAGGAAAACATTTTACTGAGGATTTTACTTTTTATGTGTGCTGTATTTTTAAATAAATCAGCAACTACTTTCTACAAACTTTCCTCCTGCATGTTTTTCACACAATAATTTGAATTAGATCAGTCTATCCACAACAAAAATAAAAGTGATATTAAAGTGTGAGAAACAAAAACAAATGCATGGAAACGTCCTACAAACTTAGAATAATAAATAAATAGATAATTGTTGCCGTTTCTGCAGTTCCAAATCAGCATGGTTTTGGCCCTGGTTATCTAAATTGCTATTTTTGCTCTGCTTGACCAAATGAGGCTGACCGATGCATAAACTGAAGAAGTTTGGGGGTAAATGTTTAATTACAGTATTTGTTGAAACAGCACTGGTTGATGTTGCAGAACTGAATAGTTTTTGTTCATAGTACAATTGATTGTATACAAGCATTCAGACTTCCCCCTGCAACCAGTACATATAGCATTAGCTTGAAGTGGCTTTTTGAAGCCAAACATCAGGTTGTGGGACTAAAAGAAATTACAGATGGACTACAGAGGTAGATGGTCAAAGTGTTTTTTGACAGCTGCACTACGGGAGTGCAGTTATGGTAAATGGACTGAACTTATAGAGTGCTTTTCTTGTCACACTGACCACTCAAACCACTTTACATTAGCACTCCAACACACACACACACACACACACACACACACACACACACACACACACACACACACACACACACACGCACACACACACACACACCCACACACACCCACACACACACACGCACACACACACACCCACACACACACACACACACACACACACACATTTATTCACAAATACACACTTATGCTCTTGGGGTTAAGTGCCCAAGGGACACATCAACATGTGACAGGATGTTAGAATCGAGCCAACAACAAGGCAGTGCACTTCATGCACTGAAGAGATTTTCTGCTGCTTCCATTCACTTTATGCCTTACATAATTACAATCTGATGTTGGAATTGGGGAGAAAGAAGTGAGCAGCAGTGGTGAAAATGTACAAATTACCTTGATTGTTTTCAGGTTTTAAGTTCTCTGAATGTCACAAGCAATCATTCACCACTTAGGTTGTAGACGATGTATCATCGTCATTCCTAATTTCCTTTTTTCACCAATAAAGACGTCTATAGAAATGCTGCCAGTTTGAAAAGTTAAAGACAAACTATAAGCCACAGAAAAACAGATGTTTTTCTTTTTTTGTTTTACCAGAACCCACCCACCTCTGCTAATGTCAAAAATCAACATTTGGGCTGAGTAAAGTGTTAAAACAAATAAAAAAAATGATTGATTGTAGTCTCAGTTGATTTTTTTTCTTATAGCCATCTATAGCTTGATATCTTGGTCAAACAAAATATGTTAGCTGCACAAAAGCTATTTAAACCTCAAGATTTGATATATTGGAGTCTAATAAGTTTGGTACAATTGCCAATTATCCACAACAAGAATTAAGGAATATATGACTTATATGATATAAAATCCATTTTCCATTTTCCAATTTTAAGGTTGTGTTTTTTTGACACAACAATCAAAGATATTCGCTGATATTCACTGACTGATACTGAAGTTTATCTGGGACACAGCTAAGCAGATGCTTAATTCAACCACCTGCTGAGTTGTTGGAGCCTTTTCCCAAATGTTTTTCTGTATGTGTAAAACTTCCCAGTTGGTGGCGTGGAAAAAGATTCTCACGCCTTAAGTGTATTTGATGATGCTCCAGAGAGTACACTTTCAGAAATGTTTTATTGTCATCAGCTGGCCGTTTCTGCTGTCTTTAAGGCCAGAAGGCTGACAGGGCGAATCAGGACTTGTAACAGATTATGTACACTCTCTGAAATTATCTGAACCATAGCTCTGCTCTATAATGTCTGTACATGGTGTTATTTTCAAGTCCACTCCAACACCCACTCCAAGTGACTCATGCCAGTTTGGCCTCTCTATAGACACACATCTGTGAAGGAAGACAAGTCTGAGGGCAAAAGCTTAAAATCATCAGAATAGTAAATACTTCACAATGTACAGACTTGTTTCTTGTTGGATCTGACAACAATTTGTCAGATCCAACAAAATATTATTGTATCTGTTTCGCCATGTTTGAAAGACAACATGATGAAAGGAAAACTTGCAGGTTAAGATATGAAAGGCATGGCAAGAAGAGGGCTGAGGGATGCACATAAGTTGCATCATAAATAATACAAATCATAAAACTGATGTTATGTTGACCTGTCTTCTGCCAGAACGATACGCTTTCCTCAAAAGATCAGAACCGCTCTGCAGTTCACTGTAATTGATTCAGAAGGTTAGCCAGTATTGGTAGTTCACCTCTGAAAAGTGGGATTAACATTTGATCAAAATAATGCGAGTTTTGTTTCAAACATGCACTCAGAGGAAACATCAAAGCTTTATCAACCTGAATTATGTCTAAAATGTACTACATTGGTTTCAAATGTGAAGAAATCAGCTCATTTTGTCAGACTGACACAAATACAGCATGTGTAAAGGATGAAGGGAGTCCAATTTACAGTTGTGGTTTCTTCCGATGTCCTTTTTTCATAACTATTGATCACCTAACCATCTTGAGATGAAAGTTTGATGC